AAGCTAGAAATACATTATGCCAGGTTGGGAATTTAATAAAATTCAATATCAGAAATTAATTACCTTTAATCGCAACCACAAGTTCCGGCTTCTTGTTTTTCTTGTAATTTCCTACAAATTAACAGAAAAAAAAAAAATTTAGAGGTTTATAGCAGTTACATGTACATGAACAGAAACTTAGCTGGTCAAGTACAGAAACAGATTATTGGACAGGAAAGACTTGCACAACTACCCCTAATAGGAGATTACAGGTAGAATTTTTTGGTGTGTAAAAGAATTCAGTGATTCAGATCCACGCTGGTCAGTCTTCGGACATAGTCTGAGACAATTTTTATTTGTCTTAACAAATTTTCGTAAATTATGACAAATGTGCGAAATGAAAATAAAATATGAAATACTCTAAATGTGTCTTTTGGTAGTGATTAATGTTAGAGATGGGTACAATTTTCCATATAGCAAAAAAATCCCTAGTTTGAGCCGCAATTTGTACACCAAACAACGCAACCCCCGCCATCTTGGATGTATTTTACAAGATCACAGTGTGTGTGATTGGTCAGACCAAAGCCAAAACAACACTTGTTATAATGCGGGCACCATCTTTGATTCTTTTTTGAGCAAACCATGTGAACGAAAGACATTGGTTATGGCTGAAAAGAGACAAAACCTTTGTTATATTTTTTCAAATGAAGAAAGCAGTGTGAAGATGAATCTGATAAAGACAGCACAACAATGCAAGTTGCTCATGAAAATTTGAATGATGTCAATGATCCAACAAAAGAAATTCTAGCCGCGATGGCTGAAAAGCTACCCGTGGCTGGATTATGATCAAGAAAACCACACCATGAAAAGCAGTTTATGTGAGTATATTTGGCTAACATAAGAATATCCTGTGACAATTTTTTCTTTGTTATGAAATTCGCACGTTTGAACATATTTTTGAACATATTTTAATGCGGTCATGCTTTGGCAATGCCATTAACAAAAGAAATACATCTCCTTTGCATATATGCATCCACTTCAACTCTTAATTCTCACTTTTGCAAGAAGGTCAAAGTTATCCCTTTAAAACTGTGCCAGCTGTCACTGATTCAACACACACAATGCTCCATAAAAGAATGACAGTGGAAGCTGTTTATAATTAACCTAATTACCCCTGAACTTGCCATAACTTCCCATGCGGATCCGCACTCCTTCTACTACTTGAGACATCATCAGTTTTAATGGCAAGGAAAACTTTGTCATTTAACTTGTGCATGGTGAAAAGATCTTAGAAACGGTACTAGAATGAGCATGATTCAGTCAAGGAGGCCAGAGAAAAAGGCAAAAAACCATGTAAGGTTGACCTGAAAATTCCCATGAAAACCTTGTTTCGAAACCCACCAACTTTTCCTTTTATCTAATGCAAAGGTCCTCGAAGCTTTCCCAAAAACTTTTCCCAGCGAACTGTTGCAACTGTTGTAATGTGCAAAAAAGGAAGCCCACGGACTTGTAGATAAACACGGTTAACTATATCAAGAGAAGTATCCAAAGACTTAAAAAGTCTATGGAGTCTAGGGATAGTTTTAATAATAATGATAATCATCATCATCATCATCATCACCACCACCACCACCACCCACCACCACCATCATCATCATCATCATCTTCACCACCTGATGTTGTAGTGCTGGAAAAGGAGAGTAGGGTGTGCTTTATTGTCGATGTAGCTTGTCCTTTTGATACATGGGTAGCAGAAAAAGAAAGGCAGGTTGGGAACACCTGGGATTATTGCATTGCTCCCGAAAGCTTGTTTGTTGGGAACAGCCAAGCTCCTAATAAGGACCCTAGACACCTAATTAAGGCTATAGGAAATAGCTTGATGCTTTGGAGAATAAGGCCACTTCTGGGTGTGAGACATGCACAGAATAATAATAATAATAATAATAATAATAATAATAATAATAATAATAATAATAATAATAATAATAATAAAATAATAATAGACAATTTTATTAAAAAACTATTAAAATCCTATTTACAATTAATTTGCTTAAAAAAAAGAAAAAACTATTCATTCAAAAACACTATATAATAATAATAATAATAATAATAATAATAATAATAATAATAATAATAATAATAATAATGATAATAATGATAATGATAATGGCTTTATTTTGGCATATCCACTGGGTGGCTCTTATAGTGATAGCGATAGTTTTAAGAGCATTTCACAACATTGTTAACAATGCAGTCTGCATTTGTTGCACACCACGACTGAATTGCTGTCCTCTCATTGGCACGTGACATTTCATGGCTCATACTTGGTGGAAAAACGTACATGAAACTCACGAAGCCACTGAGAAGTCAACACAATAGAGACAAGGAAAACAAGAGCTAGAAAACAAAGAAAAACTTCACAGGTTTTTACACCGAGGATGAACCCATTTGATTTTATAAAACATTCACTAAAAAGCACCTCTTATTTTCAGCACAGGAGCGTTGAAAGTCTTCCCATTCTTTAATGCATTTAGATCTGTCACCGTTGTTCCTGTCTAAGCATTCTTTTAAGGCCTGATGATCGCAAGACGATACCACATTTCGGTAAGCTTTTCGTGCGCCAGCATCGGCCATGATGGATAATACCCAGGGTACAATGCGTCACTGGCTGGCTGCTCATGCGCATTATAGTCGCTTTGCATCATGGGCTGGCCGTTTTTACGAAGTGCTTGAAATCAAGCGGTGTTTGAGTTTCAAAAATTGGTAGAC